ACACGAAGGTAAAATTAAAAGTAAGGGGTTAGATAGGCAGGGCAGAGAGATTTAATTCTTACGGGGGCAGTAATAAAGGTAAGGGAGTTATTATTATATTGCCTTAATTCTCCTTCTTTCCTTTATTTAACGCCCCTCTTTATACCTATCTAGTATCTTAATTAATAAAGAAGATCCTACTTAAAGAAGCTATTAATGTCCTTTTAACTACCGAGCTTTTTATAGGTTTTTCCCCTCCTTTCTAGCCGTTGCCGGTATATCCGTCTTATCTCTTACTACCTCTATAGGAAGCTATCGCTACTTCTGCTTCCCCTTATACCCCTACCCTCCTTTTTATACCTCTTTTTAGCTCCTTCTTCCCTCTTTTATACTAGGTGTTTTTTAGCTTCCTAGGTCCCTCTTACTAAGGTATGTCTCCGAGAACTACGAAATTAGGCTACGCTTCGAGATAACTATACCTTATATTAAAGGGCGATAATTTTGCGTATTATATCCTAAGGGGAAATAGTAGCTCTAAAGTTAGTTAATCTAGTTTACTATATAGGTATATTAATAGTTACGATATTACTTAGAGTAACATAGTATTATATTAAAAAAGAGCTTTTAACGTATAATAACTAGTATTATTTTTAAGGGATAAACCTATTAAGGGGTTTATATTAATAGATATAATAGGGCGTAGTCTAAGTAATAATATATATATTACGTTAGTAATAAGTTAGAGGTTATAGACTATAGACTATAACTAAGTAATTAAGTAATCGGAATTAAAGATAGAATTATAATAAAGATCGTATTAATTATAATATATTAAAAGCTATTAACCTATTTATCTAAAAGAGTAAAAGTAAGTAGCTATATATAATTATAAAGACTATCCTTAGATTATAGTCCTAGCTATAATCCTATTTATAGCTTACTATAGCTTACTTATAAGCTATACTCCTAAGTAGTAATCTATTTATATAAAGCTTACTTAGCTTACGTATACTCTAAGTAAGCTAAGCCTAAGTAACTTCTTATCCTAAGCCGCCTTATTATATAAATATAGCTAGCTCTCTTATAGCCCGCTAACTATAGTCGTAATAATAGCGCTAACTCTCTCTCTCTTAGAGGCACCGTCGCCGCTACCCTAGCTGCCCCTACTACCTCTACCGCCGCCGCCTCTACTACTACCGGCACCGCCGCCGCCGCCGCTACTATCCTTAACGCTACCGCCGTCGCTACTTAGCTAGGTAGCTTAAAAGGCTAGATCTACGCCCTTAAGGCTAGGGCTACGCCTTACGCTAAGGAGGAGGATAAGGAGGAGGATAAGAAGGAGGATAAGGAGGAGGATAAGGAGGAGGATAAGGAGGAGGATAAGGAGGAGGATAGGGAAGAAGATAAGGAGGAGGATAAGGATAACCGTTTAATAGTTAAGACCCCGCTAAAGAAAAAGGCCTACTAGGCTTAGTTTATACGCCCTTAAGCGCACTTATAAGGGCTAATACGATTTTTTTATACTACCGCCGACCTAAGTATACCCCGCTTATTATCTATAGTTATAGTATCTATAATATATACTTATAGCTTATACTAGTATAGCGACTACTATAGGCTTAGTACCTTACTACTTTCTTAAGGGTAGGGCGTAGTCTCTCTTATATCTTAAGGTACTAGCTGCTTTACTACTAAGGGGGTAGCTTCTCTTACTAGGCTATCGTTCTCTTTTACTAGCCTATAAAAGGCCTTAAACTTATTTAAAGCTACCGCGCCCTTAAACTTAGAAGCTAGCTCCTATATTAAGTCTTAGTAGCCGCGCTACTTAACGAGGACTTTATACCTCTTACCGCGGCCTATATTCTTTTAATAGGCTACTTATAACTCCTTTATTAAAAACTCCTCCTCTCCTTTAATAAGGATAGCGGCTAGTTAAGGATCCGCTATCTCTTAGCTTAGTAAGGGGTCTATAGTAGCGCGATAAAAGAGGTTAATATTAATTATACTATAGATACTAAAGGGTAGCCCTTCTAGCTCTATAATCTATAAACTTAGTACCTTCTTTACTATATACTTAGCGTATAGTTAGTTAAGCTTCTTTTTTAGCCTTATTAACCTATAGTTATAAAGGGCTAGCTAGACCTTATCCCCTGCTATAAACCTATCTATAAGATCCCTTAACTTATTAGCCTATCGCTCTTAGTCTTAAGTAGTAGATACTATTAAGGATTAGTAAAACTCTATAACTTATTATAGCTTTTAAATAAAAGTAGACGCCTTACCCTTTAAGGAGCTAGCTAGGTAGCGCTCCGCGCTTATATTTATAGTAATAGGCTATACTAACGGCGGTTTAAACTTATATAGCCTAAGGAAGAAAGATATATTAATAAAGGAGTTTAACTTACTATTAATAGTTATCTAAGGTATAGGAAGCTACTTATCTTAGTTTACTTAGTTATAAGCTATTACCCTTTAAAGGTAAGCTTATACTTCTTAGTTAAAGCATTTAAGCCCCTTATTAATCTATAAGTAGTAGGCTATACTTAGTAACTAAGTAACTTAAAGTAGCTTATAAAGGTACTATTAAAAGCGGCCGGTTTAATTAATACCCTTATTATTAGTAATTAAAGCTAGCTACTAATAAAAGTAAGCGTAGTACTAAAGGAAGCGCTTAGTATATATCTTTACTTTTATAGATAGTATTAGCTTTAGTATTATTTCCTTACTTAAACGGTCCTTAATTACTTAGAGATTATAGTTACCGCCCGCTATAAAAGGGAGGTCTATAATAAAGTCTATATATATATATATATATAATTAGTTAAGGACTAGTAGTAACTTTAATAGCCCCTTCTTAAGCGCTTACTATATCTTTAAGCGGCCTTAAATATTATAGTTATAAATAAAATAGTAGATATATAGTACTATAAGCGGCTAGTAAAAGTCCTAGCTAATTAGTATTAGCGTGCCCTTATAGCTAAGATAGCCGATTACGCTTAAGTTATAAATTATTTATATAATCCGCCCTCTTAACCTATCTTACTCTTTAACTTTTAAGGGGGCCGCCCTAGCTATAGCCTCCGTCGTCGCTAGCGCGCCTAGGACCTATAGCTTGCCCTTATAATAAAGGTAGCTATAGGGGTTAATATAGTAGTCGCCTACTTAGACTTTTAACCTAAGGCTATAGTTAAGGGAGCGCGCCCTTACTTTTATAGCGTAGCGTACGCTTATATATATACTATCTTATACCGCTAGCTAGTCTTATAGGCGTTAGAGCTATTTATCTTAAAAGATACGCCGAGGGACGTTAAGCGTACCCTTAAGGGGGGCTAGGACCCCGGCCGCTCTTAAGGGGTTACCTTTTATACTTAATAGAGTAGCGCTAAGGTAAGTCTAGAGCGCCTTATCTAGGATTATTTATATATATCTTATATTAAGGTTTATGGAGGTAGGCTAATCCTACTCTCTTTATAAGAAAGCGTTTAAGACTATAGCCTCCTTACTTAGTCTATACTTAATATAGAACTAAAAGTATAAGAGATACTTTACTTAGCGCGCCTACTACTTTAAGAGATACTATTAAGTTATAAAGTATTTAAGGTTCTTATAGTCTTTCAGGATCTTAAAGCTCTTATAGTTATAGAGCTCTACTTACTACTACTTAAGGTAGCTAATAATCGCTAATATCTCTTTATTATAGATTAAGTAGTTCCTTTTTACTATAATAAGCTTATATAAGTAGAACGTTATAGGCCTCTTTTACCTTTCTACTTCTTAAGATAGGGTTCCCTTAAGTATATAGCCGCTATAATCTACTTTTATAGTTAAGGGATTATTAAAGTCCTACTATAGTAGTATTAGGGCTTATAAGAATAAGTCTTTAAGGGCTTAGAACGCCTCTACCTATATAGGTCTAAGGAGAGGGGGACCCTATCCCTTATTAGCTTATTAAGCGGTAGTATAATCTATAAGAACCCCTTAATAAAGACCTAGTAGTAGTTAATAGAGCTAAGGAAGCTTTATATACCTTATTATAATATCGGGGTTACTTAGTCGCGGATAGCTTAGATCTTAGCTAAGTTTACTTATATACCTATATATATAATAATAATAAAGCTAAGGTATTTAACGCGCTTAATACTAAATTTATATTTATCTAGGTTTAAGTATAAGCTATACTCTACTAAGCGGTTTAATACCTTCTATACCTTTTATATATACCATGCCCCACCCCCCTTTCGGTAACACCCACCTTTCGGTAGCGCATTAGAAAATATCCCCACCAAAAACCATCAATTTCACTTACACGGATTCCAGCCAGCTTTGAAGATATTCACAAGCCGTCACTTGGAGTAGATAGTGGATTGATTGAATTCTACTTTTCGATGGTTGAATGTTTGTACAGGGTCTGCGGCCTGTGCGTACCTTGCACGCGAAATTACCATCCAACCCCTAATCTCCTTCCGCCTCCTGACGATGATTCTTCTCGTTATTCCTCCACCACATGACCAAAATAACCTTAAAGCGGCCTCGACGTATTTATACGGAGGATATTATGGCTAATGCGATAATTGATGTCACAAAAAACGGCTTGTCGCAGTACCGCGCCGCCCAAAAGTATGACATACCTCAGCAGTCTATTTCCGACAGACTCAAAGGCCAGGTAGCCCTGGCTGATCAGATCCAGCCTCGTCAACTCTTGAGTAAGTCTCAGGAAGCTCGCTTGGTTTCTTGGATCCTCCGCCAAGAGTCTCTCGGCTATGCTCCTCCCACAGTCAGATCCGCGCATGTGTGGAGGCTCTTATAAAGCAACTGAACAACGAGCGGACAGTGGGGCGCAACTGGGTCTCTAAATTCATCAATCGCCATCCGGACATCAAGAACAAGCGTGGGAGACGTCAGGAAGCTAACCGATTTAATGCTTTTACGCCTCGGGCGGTTCACTGGTTCTTCGATATCAGGAAAAGGAGTATGGATGGATTAAACCAGAAAATACCGTGAATGTTGACGAAGGCGGTATTATGTCTGGCTTTGGTGAGTATTTGGCTTGTCTTTCATTACTTTTACTAACCAGACTCTTTTGCCAGGTTTGGATAGTCTTGTGGTTGGGAGTGCAGACCCAAAACGGAAGGCCCTTCTGAAAGGGCCACAGTCCCGCAACTGGACCTCATTTATTGAAGCTATCACCGCGGACGGCCGTGTCCTTACCCTGGCATTATCTTTAAGGGCAAAGAGCTTCAGAAACAGTGGTTCTTGACGGAATTCGGCAAAATAGCCGACTGGCATTACATAACGTCGCCCAACGGATGGACGGACAACCATATCGCTATTGAGTGGCTTGAGAGGGTCTATTTGCCCCAGACGCGACCAGCCGATGCCTCAGATGCTAGACTGATCATATTAGATGGACATGGAAGTCATGCAACGGTGCGTTTCTTTATCCACCTCTGTAGGAATTACTGTTAACCGAGACCAGGATGCATGGATGGCCACATGCTTTTGAACAACGTTTATTGCTGTTACCTTCCTGCCCACTGCTCATGGCCTCCAGCCGTTAGATAACGGTGTATTCAATGCCTCCAAGGCAGCTTACCGGAAAGAACTTCAGAAATTGACCTGTTTGACCGATTCTGCGCCTGTTCATAAGGTCAATTTTATACGGGCATATGCTAAAGCGCGCGAGGTTGGAATGACGGCAAAGAATATATTGTCCGGCTGGAGGGTCACTGGGAATTGGCCGATCTCACGATCCAAGGCATTGCGGCATCCAGAAATTCACGCGGACATTGTAGAGACGTCTCCAAAGTCCGCGCTATTTTGGGTTCTGATGATACGCCAAGAAACAGCCGCCAGATTCGCGATTTCGGAAAGAACAAGACTCCTGGCACCCGGAGACGATACGCCGTGATAGCTAGAGGCTTTGAAGCCCAAGAACAGACGCTTGCCGAGCACAGCAACAGAATCGCGAAGCTAGAGGAAGAAGTGGCCCGGCTGCAGAGAGGCAAGAAGAGGAGAGCAATTCCGAACCCGAACAGACGGTTCATGACTCTCAGTGAAGCTTTGGTGGCTGAGGAAGCCATTCCCAGATATTTCATGTAGTTCAAATGGTAGACTTTTGGTGGAGAATTTTTCAATTGCGCTACCGAAAGGTGGGTGTTACCGAAAGGGGGGTGGGGCATGGTAGTCTTTATAGCTCCTACTTAAATAGATAAGAATATTATCTATATATATAAACGTAAACTTATTAAGGGAACCCTTAAGTACTTAGTTAATATAACGTTAAAATATAGCTAGGGTACCTACTAAGTTAAAGGGGGTAACTATCTACTTAAATAAGCTATATCTTATATAGAACGCTATCTTTTACTCCTCCTTATATACTATTTATACCTTACAGAACGTTTAGATAACGTTAAGCTTTATAAACTACTTTACCTTTATTAGGTTATAAAGGGTCTCTCTTATAAGTAGGAGGGGGTACCGGTCTAGGCGTATAATTACGTTTAACGCTTAGTAGTCTATATAGAAGTAAAGTCCCCCCCTTAGCTTTTATATAAATAGGATTAAAGCCGCTACTTTAAAAGAGCTAGCCTTAATAAATCCCTTATTAAAGAGGTCTATAAGTATAACGGCTAGTATTATTCTTAAGGGATAAACCTATTAAGGGGTCTATATTAATAGATATAATAAAGTATAGTCTAAGTAATAATAAGTATATTATATTAGTAATAAGTTAGAAGTTATAGACTATACGCTATAACTAAGTAATTAAGTAATTAGAATAAAAGATAAGATTATAATAAAGATCGTAATAATTATATTAAAAGCTATCGAGCTATCTATTTAAAGGAGTAAAAGTAAGTAGCTATATATACCTATAAAGACTACCCTTAGATTATAGGCCTAGCTATAATCCTTAATATTAGATTATATAGAGCGTAGTAATCTTATTAATCTTAGATTACTTAGATCTTTATAATCCCCTTAATCTTATATCTATTAAATAGTTATACTAACTATTTATCTATTAAACTATATTATATACTTAACGTAGTTAACTATTAGCGGCTTAGTAGCTATAGTTATAATATAATATCTTTTTTCCTTTTAGTCTTATTTATAAGACTTACTATAACTACCTTAGCTACTATATATAAATATACCCTTATTATATTATATATAAGTATATTATTCCTTATTTCTTTATCCTTTTAAGATATACTACTAATAGTATATCTAGTTATATACTAAAAATTCGTTCTTAAAAAGCCTTTAAGCGCGCTACTCTTAATAAATATATCGACTTAAGTAAAGATCCTACTAATATACTATATACTTAATACTTTAAGGTAAAGAAGATAAATTATTAAATAGTTAAAAATTCTTTACGCTATAATAATTATATTACTAGTAGTCGTCCTTATTATAATAGTATTTTAATAGGTTTTTCTTATAAGTATCTTTTAATTCTTTTTATATATAGTAGGTAATATATTTCTTTTAATAACTAAACTATTAATAGAGTAGTATAGGCTATATTTTAAAAAGGAGGAAGCTAAGGAAGCTTTATTAGAGCTTTAAGTATAGCTTATAAACCTTTAGTCGTAAATATCTATCGCTATTAATCGTTTAGCTTATATCTAAAAAATTTAGAATTATATAAAGGAAAAGAGTTCTAGGTTATTTTATTATAGTATTTAAAAAGTAAATACTAAGGATAGCGTTTTACCTACGCTTAATATATATAAGTATTAGGTAGTAAATAGCTTATAATTATTAAGCGTTTATAATAAAGTAAATTAGTCCTTATTTAGTATTAGTAAGGAGTTTATAGATCTTAGTCCTTTAATCCCTTTTAAACCTTCTAGTAAAATTATTAAAGTAAAGAGCTATAATAAGTTAAGTACTTAAGTAGTTCCTAGGTATTTTCCTTTAGTTTATATCCCTTTTACTTAATAAGGCACTCTTATTACTAACCTTATTTTCTTATATTTAGTATTTATTCTACTTTAATTTTTTCTTATAGTTTAGCGTTTTATAGCGCTAGTTTTACTAATAAGATATAAAATATTAGGTATATCTATATTATTATTAATAGCGAAAGTTAATAGTTAACTTTTAAAATAGCTTTCTTAACCTTAAATAGTCTAAGTTTCTTAAAATCTAATTTATTACTTAGTCGTTTTATTTTAATATTTCGTTATATAAGGTAGACTATATCTCCTTCTTAAAAGATTAGTCCCTATAGTTATTTCCGATTATAATAAGTAGATATTCGTTCTTTAACGAATTAAAGTTTTTATTATATTTCTTTATATATTTTTTATAGCTAATCTACTTATAGTATCGCTTATTCCGCTTATAGTCCTTATTAAATAACCTTAAATACTTCTAGGTTATATCTATAATTAATATATACTAATTAGAGCTTAGTTATTTCTATAACTAAGCTATTATAAGCTAGTTACGCTATTAATAGCTATTTAACTTAATTGTTTTATTTATAGCTAATATAGTATTATAAATATTATTTAAGTGTTTAGTTAAGTCGTTTTATTTATCTATTTATTAATAGGTAATAAGCTATACTAAGCTTATATTTAGTCCTTAATTATACTATAAGAGCTTATTAAAACTTAGCTATAAATATACTTTCTTTATTAAAGATAATCTTATTTAATAGTTTTATAATTACTAATAATTATTTATAGGAATATATATACTAGCTCTTTTATATTACTTACTTCTTTATATAGTAAGAAGTATCTATACTTTATTAGTCTCTTAGTAATAACGAATATACTATTATACTTAACGTTAGTTATAAGTTCTTTTAATAATAATAGCTTTATAATATAGTTAAAATCTATTAAATCCTATAGTTTTTCTAGTACTAGTAGCGGTTATAATTCTTTATATAGTTTATATTATTTAGCTTTACTTTATATATAAAGTTTATATTCTTTAATAACTTATTATACTACTTCTTTAAGCTATAAGAAGTTATATTATTATTTAATCCGTTTTATTATTCTTTAGATTCCTTAGTATCTATATATTAGATATTTATATATATCTTATATAACTGTATCTTATAATTTTAATAGTATCTAGATTTTATTTTTATATATTAAACCTTTTAAATATCCTATATTATATCTATTTAGTACTTTATATTCTTTTATTTATTTTAGGATCTTTTAGTATATTAAGTTATTAGGTTATACTTTAAATATTATATTTAGCTATTATTACTAGTAATTCTAGTTTTCGTTAATTTCTAAGAGCTATCCTTTTACTATAAGTGCCTTTATATTATAGTTACTTTATTAACTAAGGGTATTAGCTCGACTATTTTCTATTTCCTTTTTATAAATTATTTTATAGTTAAATTCTAATAAGTATTTAGCTTATTGGATCTATTATCTATTTAACTATTATATTATTATAAAGTATAAGATATTTTTATAATCTATATAAACCTTAACTTTATACTTACTTTTAAAAAGGTAGTATAAAAGTTCCTTAAAAGCTTAAATAATTATAAGGAATTCTTTATTATAAATAAAGTAATTAAGTTCTATACTATATAGCTTCTTTAAATAAAATATAATCGGTCGTAGTTTTTCTTTATTATCTTTTTATCCGATTTATACTCTTAAAGTAAAGTTTAATATATTAGGTTTAAGTTTAATTTATTATTTTAGATTAAAGGTAGTTAAGACTAGTTCTTATATAATTATAGTCTTAATATATTTAAAAGATTTATTAGCTTTATCGTCTTATATAAATCCTTTTTCCTTCTTTATTAAGTTATATAGTAGTATTATAATCTATCCGAAATCTTTAATAAATCGTTAGTAGTAATTCGTAAATCTTAGGAAACTTTATATATCCTTAACGTTCTTTAGTATTAGCTATTCTTAAACTAAGTTAATCTTATCTTATTATATTTATATCTCTCTTAGTAAGATCGTATATTTAAGGAAGTCTACTTCCTATATATAGAACTTACTATTCTTTAGTTTAACTAGTAACTTTATATTTTAAAGTAAATAAAGTACCTTATAAATATATTCCTTATATATTTCTAATATTTCTAAGAAGATTAGGATATTATCTAAGTATACTACTATAAAGATATCTAAGTATTTATATAGGATATTATTAATTATTTATAAGTATTACTATTTATATAATAGTATATTACTATTTATATACTTAACCTATTTTTAAGATATATACTAAAGCTAGCCCGCCCCGCCTATTTATACTACGCGCGCTTAGTAAGTACTTATACCGCTTAAATACCCGTACCTACGCCTACGCCCGCCTATATATATATATAACCTATATATATAACCTATATATATATAACCTATATATATATAACCTATATATATATAACCTATATATATATACTAAATTTAAAGCTATTACTAGCGCTACGATAGACCCCTTTCTCTCCTACCTTAATACGTTAGATAATACCTATAATGCCCG